ACACACACACACACACACACACACACACACACACACACAGATTGGGGTGAAAACAACACGCCGCTTCAAGCTATGCCAACGTCCATGGTAATAAAACTGTCACGGCACTGAACGCAATTAGTAGAGCCAGGCAAAAAACAGAGCACTCATAACAACATGAAATACTTATGACCAAATATAAAACTTTTACACATATAGGAATTGTTCAAAAATAAATCGAAAAACAAGTTTCCCCCAAAGGTTGCCAACGGCCCCACAAACCAGCTATTCAAATACTATTTATACACAAAAATGCTTTTTTATATTTTAGCAATTAAGGACACAAATGGCCCCTGGGTAATCACTGCAGCGCCTTTTTGGTCCTTTTAAAAGAACTTGAGAAAAAAAAAAACTGATTTAATGGAATAATTGATTCAATGATGATTTGAATTTCAGTTACACTGCAAATAACGACATTTCTGCCTAAAATTAACTTCTACAAATCTTATTCTGACATAAAAAGGAAAAGCTGGAGGGGCTTTTGGCAGTTTAACGTCCTAAATAAACCATTTTCAGGCCTGAAATGTTTTAGGTTCCTCTCTGGGTCACGCCACAAACCTATTTTTGCGATTTCCTTACAGATGAAAACAACTTTGAGTTGTGAGATAATATTGCATCTTGATATCAATAGAAATGAAGCAGGTCGGAGAATGAATCCTAGCTTTTGGAAAATATTTGAAATTAGTTGATTTGCTTTGGACACAAATCATAATAATCTCTGATCACTGACAGATGGGAAGGATTTGTAGGAGTAGGATATTTCTGCAGTGTTCCATACATGTTATGCTAAATTATAAAAAAAAAACGAAAGTCTCCCTCCAGGGTTTGTCTGGAGGAGCAACTGGAACAGACCACATCCATCTGCTCCCTGGGCATCCAGAGACATTCCTACATCAGGATGAACATGTATTTTAATCTCTGTGGCATGTTCCCAATCGTACATGCTAAGAATACCAGCATGGAGACGCGTGCGCTAAACATCCTGAACAGCCGCCTGCTTTCTCTCATCTATTCCTGAGTTCCTCGCTCTTCCCCTCACGCCGAACGCTCGACTGATTTCCCCTCGACCGATTGACCACTTGACATTGCTTCACTAATCTATGGCGCCTCCTCCGCTGATGCTAACAGAAGAGCCTTGTCTCTGCTCATTTCTTTGCTATTTACGATGCAGAAGAAGTTTTTCTCTACCACAAACATCTCACCTAGACATGCAGCGGCTCCGACCATGGCGTAGAGCCCCGGCGTGATGCAGTCCGCCCCCGGCGAGCACCACTTCTTAAAGATGAGCGAGTCATGGTGGTAGTAGGCCAACTGCTCCATGCCGACACCCAGCAGTCTGCCGGCGATGGCTCCGACTGCCATGCTCGGTATGAAGAGACCCGAGGGAACCTGGACGAACACAAAGGAAGGAGAAAACTTTCTTTATGTTTCGTGTCAGAATAATAGAAACACAAATACGAGCCTCCGGCCTCTGTTCTGTGACGTCGGTCCAGATTCAAAGAAAATAGTTTGTGATGACACGATTAATAAATTGTCTTTGATTTCAGTTTTCACGTTCAAAGGGTATTTTTAGACTTTAGTGCAGCTCTGACTCTCACTCGTTGTGTCTTGGGGCCACTGTGCTGCAATCTGAAGACTACTGGCAGTCAAGCTAACTGATCTTGAGGAAGGTCACAGTCAGACAAATAAAGCAGAGACGAGTGAGTGTGGAAGTTATTAAATCCCACATGTACTCTCTCGTCTTTGAAGATGAACTCTCGATAACTCTTGTGAGGACTGTACACAGTCTGGGTGCTGCGACGTGACCTCACGTGACCTCCTTCATCAGAGCAGTATGAACGGTGCTTTCCCCACGAACCCCTGTTGTTTGTCATCACGCCTGAGGGGTGATTCATCGATTGCCGAGACACAGACGTCCTCATTATGGCCCTCGTGTCGAGGGATGTTTGGATATACAGCGTGTTCTCTCGGAAGCAAAATTAAAAACAACGTCCTCGTGCATTTTCAGCCAAATGCAGTGCACTGTGACTCAGTTTAAAGCCTCTGTAATAAAGTGATTATCGCTTTGTCTAGAGAACAGTCTTCTCTAATCGGCATGCAAAGCCCACAGACGTTTTTTTCCCCCCTAACGACTTGATCCTCCAGTAAGCCACATGACAGTGAGTCATGTTGCTGTGAATCACTGTATAAAATGCAAAAAGTGGTTCAGAGTTCCAATTACACGACATCTGGCAGAACGGGCGAGTTCAGTGAATGAAAAGTAGGACAATGGTTCCAGACATGTTCGACGCAGCTGGTTGTGTTGCAACTCACACACCGTGCTACATGGTGCACACAAGAGAGACGAGAGCTCAAAGTGGAGTGATGACACTCGAACAGGCCGTCCAACTCAGGGGGGCAGATAACGGAGGGTGTAACGACAGCGACTGGAGCAGGAGTGCATCGTGGGAGCACACGCAACTCGTTGGAAACTCGTTCGGAAACTTGAATGAGGTCATTTTCTGCAGAATCAGGCCGCATCCCCGAAAGCTCCTGAATGTTGTTGTGTTTCAAAGTTCACACGGCTTCTCTTTTTCATCCTGACATGTTCTTTCAGTTCTGCGTTCGTCACATGTTATAAGGTTAAATTCTGCTCTGTCTCCACCAACCTTCATGCCGAAGGTGATAACGGTGACCATCATCTTGAATATTAAGGCCAAGGCCAGCTGCCACAGTGCGGTGTAAAGGCCTTCTCCTGCAGGCCGGTCCGCCAGGCTGTTACCGGCACCTGTTTCTGATGTGTTGGTTGCCTGGAAGAGACAGAAAAACAGAGAGACGATAGAATCAGACAATAAGGAAATAAAAAAGGAAGAGAGGACGGGGAAAGACGAAGAGACAGAAACTGAAAAAGGCGTCTGTCATCTCCCCTGTCAGTCATCGGCTGACCTGTTTGTATCCGCAGAGCTGAGAGGAGTCGAGCAGCGAGCAGTCGTTAAACAGCTCGGAGATGAGCTCAGCTCCGCTCATCCTGGTGTAACTGTTCGGGTACGCAACCAGGGCGGTCAGCGCGGCGACCACCAGCACCTCGATGACGGGGTAGTGACCCAGACGAGTGGTTTTACCTGAGGAGAGAGAGGATTGCTGATTTATAGGTGAACCGGTGGAGAGAAAGACGGAGGGATCTATAAAGGCAGACGTTTGAAGTCTGCACCGTAACTCAAGCACTCACGTCTCCTGCACCAGGCAATGTTGGCCCTGATGAACAACGCCCCCCAGAGGCCTCCGAATATCCCCAGCAGGATGAAAGGGGCCAGCTCCACCAGGTGCCACGGGGCATGGAACTCCACATAAAACAGCACCAGGCGGCTGTTTCCAAACGGGTTGATGGAGCGGAGAGTGAAGGCGGCGACCAGAGCGGCGAAGAAGGAACGCCACAGGGTCTTCAGGGGGAAGTAATAACTCACCTGGAGGAGAAAGAACATTTCTTAGCACAGAGAAAACGGGCTTCGTTTGTCAATATAAATGTCTACAAGGGATAAATCAAAACCAGCTTTCTTGATATTCACCACGTGAGATCAGGTGGAAAAGGGTTTGACAATTAAATGTGCCGCTCTGAAGATTAGGATTATCTGGGACCACGTTCGGACGGATGTTAGGGTCTGAACAGGCACTAGGGTTATAAACAATCTGGATTATCAGATCAGCTCTTTCCTTTTGGATCCTGATGTAAGTCAACGCTGCCCTCTGAATGGTCACAGGTGAAAAACTACCATCGTGAACCGTCGGGACGCATCTATTTCCCCAATGACGATTCATTTTGTCTTGGTTCATTATGTTGGAGGCCTGTGCTGAGTGAAGCCGCGCGTTCAAGAACATTTTAACAAAAAAGCAAAAGCAATTAAATATCAATTGAGATTTGTTTTGATATCTGGTTGTGATCAAACATCCGCCGAAGAAAATCTGATTGGATTTGATTTTGCGTGCTTCACTGTCGTAAAAATCAAATCCGCCCAAAGTTTTTAGGTTTCACGGGAGACGTGATCAGAAGGTGGAGACGCAGACCGGTCATCAGCGGGATGTCCGTTGATAAATAACGGTACCCACCTCCTCCAGGCTGAAGAGGACTCCTCCAATGGGAGCACCGAAAGCCACAGACACGCCGACTGCCGCCGCCGCCGATAAAACCTGCGTGCGAGAACAAAAACATCTGAATTAACTTCCACTGAGTCATTTTGAACAGATGAAACTCTGATATGATTCTGACAGGAGTTTATTATTTCACTCTGTCAAACGCAACAACATTTGATTCTAATCAGCCGAGGATTTATGCTACCACGCCACTGATCGCAAGGAGGTTTGCACAAACACAATGAAAAGCGTATGTATTGATATTTAGTCTTTCTGCTGAGCAGTCAGAGCAGATGAGTCTGATCAAACTGAGACATTTCCACTGAGTTTGAACACAGTGCAACTCCAGCAATAACCAGATATGGTTATGAATATGTTTATATTAGAGATTGTTCCATTGAGGTTCACCCCCGTCCTTTCGTTTTTTCTGGATGTTATGTTTAGATTTTCTTCTCCAGTCAGTATCTGCTCCGCTGAGACGCCCAAAACTGTGAAACCGAATCCCCCGACCAGCAATAACATCCGTCGTTATTCATCACCTCACCCGACCGCTCGGAGCCTACCTCTCGCCGCTTGGCCTCGTTCTTGCGGTACTTGGTGAACCGATGACACAGTATGTTAGCGCAGCAGCAGGCTACGTGCACCAGGGGGCCTTCCTTCCCCAAACTGAGCCCCGAGGACACGGCCAGAACCAGGGTGATGGTCTTGATGATGAGGGTCCACTTCCCCAGGTAGCCGCGGATGATGAAGCCACTCAGGATGGTTTTTATCTGCAGGAGAAAAAGTGAAAGTGTGTGTGGGCGGATTAGTTTGTGTGTGTAGAGAGGATCAGGGTATGTTTGCACTCATGTGTTAGTTTACTCTTCGGAGAGATTGGTTTAGATATACGCGTAAAAAATGAGTATGAAAGCGTAAATATTGATGGAAGGGAAGGAAAGAAAGTGGAGTTTGTGTCCTGAATGTTTTTCTTTAAAATAAGCCGCTCATCTTGTGAGCACGAGGCGGCTGACCACTGTCTGACCTCACAGCGAGGAGACGTCAGGAGAACGGGATTCAGATTCCAAAAAGGAAGTGTTTGTGTTTGCAGGACAGAGCTGTATTTGTGTGCTTTATCTCGTCCTATACATGTTAATGAAATGGTTGTGTAAGTTCGGATATGTTTGAGCTCAGTTAGTAAATTAATTGTTTTTTTAATCGGCAAACATAAAAGCTGGCACTGTGAAAAATCTGTCAGGTTCCATTTATTGCTGCGGCTTGTATGTGTTCTTTTTACTAAAATATATAAAAGAATAAATAAAACCTGCAAGAAAAACTACTTTAAAAAACACACACCTCCTCACTACAGTGAGCCGTGAGGAATGAACCAGAGAACGGAGGAAGAAATGATGAAGCAGTGACCGTTAAAAGCCTCACCTCGGGGATTCCTGAGCCACATGCGTACGGAGCAAAGGCCCTGACCAGAGCGACAGCGAGGAACGAGAAGAGCAGAGCCCAGAAGATGTACATCAGATAGTTGACGATGTAAGCAAACGCACCCTGCAGGCAACACGAGACCATAACACAAAGTTATAACTCACACATAAAACATCCACTTGTGTATTTGCGTCCTCACTCAGACCTGGTGTTATTCTGTGTCATGACAGAAAACAACCAGTAGAAGGAACCAAAGCTCCATTTGAACTATTCTGTCAGCGGCTGTGGCTCTGGATTAATGAATGACTTCCTGGAACATAATTCAGGGACCTTGAGGACCGATATCTCTGAGTAAGTGTTTTTATTATCTCTGACCTCAGACGTCCCCGCTATCAGTTCAGCCCAGCTCTGCCACTGCGGACATCGGTCCCTCTCCTGGAACGTGGTCTCGTTGGACGTCCAGCAGCAGTGCTCGTGGTTATACCAGAAGCCAATGAGACACACGCCTTCTTTCATGTCCGTCAGCCAGTGGGCTGCGATGTCGATGCCACCGGCGAGAGCGCCTGGAGAGGACGGAGGAAAAGACTGAGTTCAGCTTGTGGAGGTTTTCACTGCCTCATTTTGTCCGTGGTCTCTGTGGTTGAAGGTGTAATAATGTGAGAGGAACAAACATCGACATCCACGTCATTGTGTGTGTGTGTGTGTGTGTGTGTTACCTGAACTGAGTCCCACCAGCAGCATGAGCAGCCACCCAGAGAAGGCATCGATGACGCTGAACAGCAGAGCCGCGGTCGACTGCCGGCTCTTATTGGTGATCTGCACGGAAACAGAGACGAGAATGTGTAAACGAGTAAATATAATATAATATAATTCACAATCTAAACAGGATGTGAAGACAGACACGTCCCTCTGCGTACACAGAGGCTGTCCCGTGTCTGAGTCAACAAATCATATATACGGGAAATTCTTTAAAGATGTATAACGAGGTTCATTTAATTGATTTTGCAGGATACGTCAGACCGACAGCTCCGTACCTCTCGGTGTCTGTCGCGGTCCTTGCTCTTCTCTCTGACCCAGTCGATGGTGTTGAAGTCTTCGTAGGTGCCCAGTCCGGGCAGCGGGTCGTCCAGCGGGTCCACGAGTTTACTGGGGCCGTTACCGTTCATACCGGCCGCTCTGCCGCTGCTGTACTCCTCATAATCTGCAGCAAGAGAGAGACACGTTTTAGATGCACATCAAACACCAGCCTTGTGTTTATGACCACACTCTTCTTCTCCCGTCATTTCACAGATTATCGAGTGTTTTTTTTCCATATTGGGTTTCAGAGTTAAATAACTATTTTTTTGGGGGCCAGTGCAGATATTAGCGAGTCAAAGATTTACAGATATTTTGGCAGATTTATATAGAGTGCGGTTTCCAAAATTCTACGCCAAGCCACAGACCCGCTTTCGAGCCAAGATGTCGATCAAATAACTTTCCTGTGAAGGTTTGGTCAAAGTATAAATGGCCCTAAAAATGATGTTGGATGCAGACTGAGGCAGAAATGATTAGAAGAAACCAGAACTAAGAAGATCCTGTACAACGATCCACTAATGACCTGGAGTTCACCATCAACACATCTAAAATAAACAGATTTGTCTTAATAGCATTTCACAGTTTCCACAACGCCTGTTTTTTTTTTTTTTTTAGGTGCTGTTCTCCACTAATGGATCTGTCAGCAGCAGAAGAAATGTGGACGCCCCCTTCTCTTGGATTCCTCATGTAAAATCTGAGTCATGCAGAAACACACACACACACTAGGCTTGAGAATCCCACTTCTGCCGACTGCTGATACAAAGGAACAGACAATGTGCATTGTTATGTCTTGTATTGTATTGTGATATTGATTTTTTCCCTCACAATAGTGAATTGATGAGAATTACAGGCGAGGACACGCAAATCTATGAGACTGACTTCAGCTGCTTTCTCCCAACAGGAGCCGGAGGACGTGGCAGAAACTGAGCTGCAGTCAGCAACAATTACCAGACTTGCTGCAGCCAATCAAAACAGACTCTGGACAGAAACAGGAAGCGATGACCGACAACAGATCCGAGATGTTGAAACAAACCCGAGCAGAAGTAAAAATGTGTTTTCATTCGAGCATTAATGGAAGATAGCAAAGAGACAGGGATCTGGATGTAAACCAATATTTCTAACTTCTCGTATGAGAGAATGATCATAACACTCACACCTGAGCCGACGGGTTCGACTGGTTTTCAAACATGACTCAGCTCCTGGGCCAGCAAGAAAAACTGTCACGTTACACATGAATTAAAAGTTTTATCTGTTTCACCTTCAAGGAGAATCTCTTCAACGGCTACTGGAAAATACGAGAGTGCATTTAAAACTTTATATCAGCTGCCAATGTTCTAATCTCTGCTTCTTTACAAATTAGGAGAGTGAAAGATTCAGATAAATTGATTCTTGATATCAAATGACTGAGGCTTGATATTTTACAGTTAACTACAAATAAAAAGAAAACAATCAAATATACAGAACTTGGATTAAGAAAATCCTTTTATCATTTTGTGTAGAAAATAAATACACATCTTTTCTTCATTATTTATTCTGTAAAATAAAAGTTTTCATGTTTTACTATTAAAGCATATCGTCGGTCAGTAAATCTGTTGCGCTCCATTCCATTAATGGAGTAGTACAAATAAGGCTTAATATATACAATCAACATCAACTGTGATTTTTACTTTAGTTATTTCTATAAATTAGTAGAAGGCAGACAAGGTTCAGAGTTTATACATTCATATCTTAAAAAAATATTATATATTCATAGTAGAGTAAGTAAAAACAAACATAACAAGTACTATTCCTCATAAATTAACTACAAAAGAAATAAGCATGTATACATGACGGCCCAGAATCCTCTATTACAACCTCTGTCGTGTTCTGGAGCAGCTGAGGTGCCTTGCTCACAGGTCAGGCAGAATCTCTTGTGGTTCAAAGGGGCAGAGCTTGTTTACGTCTTTGCCTGGTCGGTGGCTCTTTAAGTTACACAACACATCAGCTGATGATGATGATGATGATGAAACATGTAGATGAACACAAATCAAGTCTTATAAAGAAGAAGAGGAAATGAAACCACAGAACCCAAAACACTTTCTCACTTTTAAAAAGTTTGAGGTTGCAAAGTCGCACACGTTTAAATTTGTACACTGAGATAAATGTGTGATGCAGAACACAGAGTGAAGATATCTGGACAACTGGAACTGAAGGCAACGACAACAAAACGATGACAAGAGAAGGGTTGCGAGTTTGACCTCAGCTCTGAGGACACAACAGCGTCTGTGAATCTCCAACATGCATGAAGCAGGAAATACACTGACACACACACACACACACTGACACAGACACACACACACACACAGAGAGATAAGAGTGTTTGGAATTCATCATGAATCTGTTGCTGTTGACCTCTGTGTCGAATACAGCAACTAAAACAGCTGTACACACACAGGCACACACACAGACACACAGACACACACAAAAGCTGCAGCACAGAACATTAAGCACTTGACTCGATGCCTGATGAGTCGTAAAAAGGTTTTAATGATTAAACTCCACAGTGTTAAAGTTACAAAACCAAACAAAGTACATTCTGCTACAAAACGTGACGCAATTTAAAACCAACACAAACTCACACACACACACACACACACACAAGTAGCTGCAGCAGAGGTGGTGAGGAATTAAAATTATCTTGTTCTTCGAGTAAAACCTGTGTCGTCAGTCCGACTACACATGAAAACTCCTTCTTTGACTCCTGACCACACTGTAAACTTACACAGACACACAGACACACAGACACACACACACAGACACACACACACACACACACACACACACACACACACACACACACACACAACTAAACTCACTGTTCAGCTCCTCCTCGTCCGGCTGCTTAGTAAAGAACTCCCGCACCATCTTTCACTCCTGGAGCCACACTCAGCGTCCGGCGTCAATGACAACAACTCAAACTGGGAATCTCTTCCCTCCCCTGAACTCCTGAAGGAAGTGGCCTCCAGCTGAGCTCCCCCTCAGCGGCCACCAGGCTCCGATGATGACTAACGATTGGCTGATCTGTCTGTGAAGTGAACGCTGACTCGCTGTGCCGGTGGGATCTGTATTTCAACAGGCTGAGAACGGTGTGTGTGTGTGAGCTTTATCCCCGATTGGCTGTGGCGGCTTGCTGCGTAAAAAAATTGGGTCACATGTTTATCCTGTCGTTGACCTCTTGAATCCCGTGAGATCTGTGTAGTCGGTGCGGACAGACGGTGATAAACAGAGCTTCGGGACGGGGTCAGGTTAAGGCGCCGTTTTCTTTCTAGCACGGCACAGTGGAGTGCAAACCTCCGCCGAGGCCCAACTCCGGCAGATCCAGTAAAATCAAGATCAAGATACATGAATTATTCTAGAAACCTGTGAGAATGTAGAAGAAGATCTCTTCATGTTAAAGAAAGTGAACCGAGTCGTTTCTTTCCCCATCGTTCAGTAGAATCTTGCGTCATCGCGCTGACGAACAGACCGAGTCGTTTATTATCGTTGGTCATCCTTGACGTCAATGCATGACCTCAGATGTCTCCGATTATCTTACATGAGCAAGATCTAACAGAAACCTTGAAGTCACACAAACAAACAGACAGACAGACGTGACCTGTCGCTCTTTAAAAACAGTCTGGAGACTTAATGTTTGAGAGGAGAAATCTGACATGTTGGAGTTTAAAATTTAAAGTAGAGTCACGCTCCAGAACCTCAGGAGAAACGTATTATAATTAAAGTTATGTCCATTCACACAAGCGTCCATTTTAACACCCACAAACATCCAATGACCGGTCAGAGCAGGGGCTTCTTTCCTTGGAGCGATGACGAGGTGGAACGCTAACTGACAGGAAGTGGTAGCAACCCTTGGTCATTGAGAGGCAAAAGATAAGAACCAAACAAGAGCGATTCAGGAAGTTCCTGCCTGTCCAGAATGAAACGCAGCCCCAGATTTTTCAAACTAAAACCTGCAGACAACTTAAACTGACAAAAAGAAACAATCCCAGCTCGGTGTCACTGTGCAAACGGATCCAGGGTTAATCCCTCGAACAGAAAATGGTCAGCGGCAGCAGAGTCCCCGAAGCAACGCTGCTCCTTTCCAGCAAGAGGCGTCATGCTGAGCTCAACTCTGTGTGTGAGTGTGTGTGTGTGTGTGCGGGGGGGGGTGTAATTCCTGAGAAGCAGAACAGATGATAATCTTTCGTTTTCACACACAACACGCTCGATTCCTCACACACAACTCTAGAAAACTCGACACACACTGTTTGTCATGAGACAACGCCGCCAAAACCTACACAGAGTGTTATCTATGGCAGAGTGATTTCCACAAACATGAGTAAAATGACCGTTACACACACTCACACACACACACACACAGTCCCCGGCGAGGGTTTGAACTTTAAACTCCAGAGGTTCGGTTGCCATGGGAATCGGCAACCCACCTGACCCCCTGTGACACTTGCCGACTACAAACGAGCCTCTCTGGCAGAGGTTAATATTTATCTTTACTTTGCACAGCCGGGGAGATTCTCCATCATATTTACTGGGTCCGAGGGAATCGAACAAAGACATAACGTGCGTCCCTGTGGGTGATTCGATTGACTTTTCGTGTACGCTAGATAAACGTTTTCCACATGGCGGAAAAAGGAAACTTTAAAAAAAAATCATATGGTGCAAATGTTTTGCTGGAAAACCGCCGAGGACGACTTCAAAAGGAACCTGGTTCGGAAGCTTCTGAGGAAATGAGCCTGAGACTGTGTGTGTGTGTGTGTGTGTGTGTGTGTGTGTGTGTGTGAGCATGTTAGGTGACAACAGCGCTGCCACGTGCCTCTCTGAGTCGAACCATAACTTTTAAAATCACTGTTTGAACCACCTCCGACTCTGTGGTCGTACTCTCGGCTCCCGGCCGCACGAGAGTGAAGCCGAGTTACACGGAAGACGACGAGAGTTCAGCAGATCCCCTTCATCCCACCGCGGATGAAAGAGGAGTTTTTACAACGACAGAGGCGAAGCCGTGACCGAATGGCAGCTGTTATGGAATCTGCAGCTTTCAGAACGTCCCTGGTCGACCTTTGCTGCAAGTTAAGTAAAAGAGTGGCACAAGTTAATGTTTCATTTTTACTGCTCGTTGTATTTTTGACCCACTATCTGTAGTTTTCTGCCGCGAGGGGATCCACACTCATTTCGCTATCACAACTGTCAGCCTCTCCCGGTGTCACGTTAAAATTCAGTCTGTCTGCGACTGTGTGGTGGACGCAGGACGTCCCAGAGGGGCTGCAAGCAGAGCTGTCGCTAACGTTCGCTCAAGATAACTTAACATTTCAAATCCCTCATCCGGTTGAAACGAGTGTGGTTTAACAGAATATATCAGGTTGGTCCCTCCCTCTTACACAACTTAAAAAATCAGCTTCACATTAAAAAAACCTCCGCTCTTTGCTGTTCGACTTCAGTTAAAGGTTGTGATATACAAATAAAGAGAACTTGTAAAGTCACACAGACACACACAGTGACACACAGACACACACAGACACACACAGACACACAGTGACTCATTCCCCGTCAATCATTACATCCTGTTGTCACCACCGGTTAATGCGTTGGGACTTTAACTCTTTATTCTGCCTCCAAGTGCCACATTGAGAGGACGTCATGTCGGAGACGACTAACAATGAAAATATCACCGACAACAACAACAACAATCCCCCGATTGGACAACAACGATAAATCAAATTCCTGGCGGTTAAAAAAAAATCAACGTGAGCAAAAGAAGAAATAAAAATCGCCTCATAATAAATCATAGAAACGTTATTTTGATTTTTATACTTCACTGAATGTTCCTCGCCTCGTTTTTCTCTCCCTTCGTTTTATGGCTGTGTCATCTTGGAAGGGAATTCCCTCTCTGAAAATATTTTCCAGTTTTCCTCCTGATGTGTTTTTTTTTTTGGGGGGGGGGGGGAATCATTTCTCCTCCTCACAGCTGGATGAGCTCTAATTTCTTCTGCGGACACATTCTGCCTCCTGTTTATGATTCTGCGGAGCCCTGTGGGACTCGGGCAGTTGTTTTTAGGCTTTACAATTATTTCAAAACAGATTTTTCTCAATGATACGAGAAGCTGAAACAAGATACGATTGTTTGTTTCAGTATCCAGGCTTGAGCCAATTCTCCCCTCTGTTTACAGTTGTCTTGAATGATGGCGAGTCAAGTGGTGTCAACAGTCAACACTTGTAAATTGGGAGCGGGGGGGGCACTTGCTTGGCCTGCGGAGTTACTAGCTGCAGCCAAAGATGAAATATAAAAATGGACGTGGAGGAAAACGAAGCTGATGTGGAGTTTATGAGAAAATGACGCTACTTTTAAACTCTGCATGTTTTTGTTTCCGTTTGTGCGTCTGTCAGCAGGATTTCACAAAAACCACCGAACAGAGTTTATTGAAATTTGGTGTCGAACGGGTTTTGGAGCAGATTTTAATAAGGAGGCATATCCAGGATTTCTTTTTCACTCTCTTTTACATTACGACATCGAACGCAGCACAGAGGAGGGGCTGATTAAAAAAACAAAAAGGAGAAATATGACAATAACCTCCACTGTACTTTCTCATGGCAAAAAAAAATTAAATACCAGTAGGAAAATAGAAGCGAGAGGAAGCAGTAAAGTTCTATTTCATCAACACCTCAAAAACTACCACAGGGAGGAAAAACAGACGTCAGGAGCAACAAGCTGACTTAGTTCAGAGAGCAAAGGATTTCATGGGAAAGGTGGGGTTTCTTTTCAGGACGCAAGAATGAAAGGATGGTTTCCATCTCCTCACCACAGGAGCATGAGTCTATGCTTTCATCTGTTCAACAGTTTTTCCAGTTCGACTGTGTATTCAGAGGGTGACTGACTTCCCCTGTTTAACAGAGGGATCACAGTGTGGACAAGCAGCTCCTCCCGTACGACGCTCCTCTCCTAATCAGTCCCTGAGCAACAGGTTACACGAGGCTCAACGATTACGGCTGCGCCAAGAAAAGCTTCTGAGTCGAGCGGCTTGGCAACGAGGTCAAGTGCTAATGAGTGGTTAGGAAACAACACTCGCCTCAGGAGGGGGAAAGAAAAGGAGGAAGTGTGAGCTGAAATACTAAAGAAGCAGGAAATGAAAAGCAGGTTGATTTTAATCTGCTGTTCAGAGCATGACTCGGTTTTTGTCTGAACGTTCTGTTTCTGAAACTTCTGCAATCAGAGATAAAACCGCAGCAGAGTACTTCTGCTGTCGTTACAAATGTTAACGACCAGCGCTGCGTTACGGCGGTCGGAACTAAGCAGCAAATGAAAACCTCCTGATTTCCCCAGACACACAAATTATATCATCGGTGTGAGGCCACGGAGCAAAGCACCGCTGACGGAAAGAGAAGCCTTACAACTCCAGTTCTGCTGATTCTAGAGTTCCTGCTCGAAAATGAAAAAAATGAACTGCTGCAGCCGAACTCTACCGGTGGATTTTCTTTTACAAGCCACTGTGTAATTTAAAAAATACAAAGGTTTGAAAACAAGGCAGCGCTGACACAGTGAGAACTCAACCCAGCGGCAGCCGCAGCAGCTACATCCACTGAGGGAAAATCTCGTCTCCAGACTTCCTTCCTGTCGGCGCATTCTTATCTCTGAGTTTCAAAACTCTGGGAGGAGGCGACGAAGCTGGAGTGAAGTCAGAATGACCTCAGACACTGCTTCTCTCCGGGGAACATGAAACATCGATGCTTGTTGCTTTATATAGTTTTTGTGAATGTCAAAGTTCTGCCAAGTTAAAAAAAAAAAAAAAAGTCAGAACTCCCATGATGACCCTGTCTGCAGAGATAATCAGGAAGAGACTTGAAGACACGATATGGAAGAGGAGGCGTTTGGATCTTTACAAAAACAAAGGCCACGGTTACTGGTAACAACCGAGCAGCTTTTATCGGCGTGAGAGAATATTCGGTATCCGGATGTTTGCATCGTGGTCGAGTAACAGGAAGAGCAGATTGTCACGGTGACCTGGTTCTGTTGAGCCGAGGGAAGGAACCACTTCAAAGTAACTTATGTTCCCAAGCTCTGGACACTTTTCTGTTCCCCATTTACTCTTGTTCCCTATTCCACACTTTGTAACACCAATCAAGCAATTTTCAGTTTCCTGCTGCAAGAACCTGCGAGTGTTCAGTAAAAATAAAGCCACGAGCTGACGGTTCTACACGCGTGAGAGGATGTTGTTGTTTCATCAACACCAGTGACTCAGCACGAACTTTGCTGCAGAGCTGCAGGTTTTTTCAAACAAAAGATAAAAACACAAACTCTTCTCTCAGGCCAAAGATGCAAATGCTCAAACAGGCTTTATCTGTGGAGTGTACACAGTGATTTACATGCATGTGTCCATAAACTACGTGTTCTGAGGTCAACAATAATTCATTCAGAATATCTAAGCCCTTGCTGGGCACTGCAGGTTGTTTTAGTGCTGAGTCATCTCTCACCATTGTGGGAGTTAACTTTGACGTGAGGTGATGTCGTCATTAGTAACCGAGAAGAAACAGTGGGTGCAAATGTCAGAGATTAGAAGACGTCAAGGAGCCGCAGCGCACAAACACTCCTGATACTGAGTCACGTTAATCCTTGTTTTTAATGATTAGATGTGGCGTCGTGTGAAAATACAGAGAATCTGTCTGATGCAGTTTGTTTCTTATACGGAGAGACGGAGAGAGAGACAGAGAGAGAGAGAGCACGTAGTAACTTATTACTCAGACATGTGACCATGACTTACTGGAAGCATGTGACTCTCACACTGCCTGATTACAGATTTATATATCCTGTCACGTGTCGTTAATGCTGAATTATGATGCCATAAAAAGGAGATAAGCAGCTCCTCCGGTTCTGGATCCAAAATACACAACACAAGCTCTGTGAACATCTCTGAACTGAAACCAGTGATGAAGTCGTCGAACATGTCCAAGTCCACGGAAGACAATTCCCTCCAAGTCTGTGTCTCAGAGTGAACTCAGCTTCTTGTCCTCACATTTATGATCAGAGAAGATTAAACAGTGGACAAACTCTTCGCGTGTTTTCTGAGGTTTAACATTATCTCCAGTGTGTGACTTGGTTCTCCTGGAGTTTGTTCGTGGAGGTCTGAGAGCTGCTGTTACCTGAGCTGAGAGGAGGGACGTCCTCGGTGCTGGAGAAGTCCAGCGTGGCTCCTGCTATGTCCACCATCTCATCATCGTCATCGTCACTGGGGAGATGAAGGCTGTCAAAGCTCCCGGTGCAATACCCGGGATTCTCCATGGCTTCCAGTCCCGTGTCCAACTAAGACAACAACAACAACATGGAGGAGATGTGTCAGAGAAGCAAACACGAGCTGCAGCTCGAGCAGGAACAACAACACGAGTGATAAACCTCCTGGTGCGAATGGTTTCAGAGGGAGGTGCTGAGGAGGAGGAGGAGAAGCAGGAGCAGGAGCAGGAGGAGGAGCTGTTGTCGCCCGGGTCATCTGTGACCAACACAGCCACAACACGTCTCCGGTTACCGGGGAAGTTTCTCCTGCTTCTTCCCCCTGAAACTCAGAAACAACAAACCCCCGCTGCGGGTGATTAGCTTAGCATTAGCCGTTAGCCGCTACTTAGTTGGAACGAGCTGTCAAGCGCGACATTTTAAGCTAGTTCGGTCGCGGAGCTGCTTTAGCGGACGCGGTGGTGGATGAGTGAAGAAACCCCGGACCGGGTCACCTGTGGAGCGGCTGCAGGCGGAGGAGACCAGCCCGGGGGGAGGAAGTCTTGTGACTCGGTCGTCTCCTCCGGGGCTGCTGGTGCCTCTGTGGCCGGGCGGAGAGTTAACGCTCGGCGGCGGCGGCAGCTCCGAGCTCCGGCCTCATGCCCCGGGACGACGGGGGAGTGGGTGTGGGTTCGAACCCTCGATGAGTCCTGGATGGAAACACGACGGGTTCACTCGTCACCTGCGCTGGAAACGACCCGACATGTTCGGATCGACTCCGCCGCAGTCAGCGCCACTTCAGACGCAACCGTCAAGTTAGCGGCAAGCTTACAGCTAGCGGCGACTTCCGCTTCGTAACACAGTCGCGTTAAATGAACTGATTCTGAACTGATTTTTTTTTTAAAACACACATTCTCGTTTTAATTAACTCGCCGATGATTCTGTGTTGATTTGATTTTAAAAATCTTCCTCCGTTCATCGTGTGTACACGGCAAATTGTGTCGTTTTTACTTTTGAAAGCCGAAGCCGCTTCATTTCCGGTTTAGCTGCCTGATCTCAGCTGACTTGACGAGGGCCATCGGCGAACCAGGAAAACTAGTCGAGGCCAGAGCAGTCGCTGCTCCATCTGGGTCAGTGGAGCAGTTCGATGAATCTGTGATCAGCGTCCAATAATAATAATAATAATAATAAATGATATTTAT